CTTGCATTTCTAACTATATATAATTATTTAAAGGTGTGAATCTTACCATATTTGGACCTGATAAAAATATAGAATTACCTCGACATTTGGAGTTCGACTTTATTTGCCATTGCTGATAACGGGAAACTACATAACTATCTATAAAAAGGTCCTCTTGCTGAATGTTGTCCTTAGAGGAATTGGATGGAGTAACCCATGGCCCAGCGTTCACACGAAACCTAAGGTTTGAAAATATTAATTTTGGGAACCAAAAGATAAGTCATTGAGTATCTTCTTTTCAACGATCCATTTACCACCACTTTTTATGATTCTTGCCGAATTTATTCATAAGAAACTGGTTGGCATCAAATCCACCAGGCATAGCAAGTCCTGCAAAGTTTAAATTGAGCGATAAAGAGAACAAGTTTTAAAAAAAGCGATTTTTCAAATAATGAGGTCGCTTACTACCAGGATTTCCCGCTATCGTTGCCCAAAGCGATTCATCTGGGCAAACTGTGCCTTTCAGGAATTTCAGCTGTTTGTGCACTATCTAAAAACGTACTCCTTTGCAGCTCCGACATAGTAGACAAGTGGGGAGAGCAAAGCGCAAGTTTGGCCAGAGATCTTCACCTCATTACTGCTCATAAAATCAGCTGCTTTTCGTGAAAACACCGCTGACATTGAACTTTTTACCAGCGGGAGCGGGGAGTTCCTTGCCTTAATCGAAATGTTACCTAAATTTCTCGCTTTCCAGGTAGAATGGTGACCTACGCTTTTGCCATGTAGTCGATATCTTTCAAAAGGTAGAATTTCAGTATTGAACGAACCATTCAGTGCTTTGAGGATTCGTACAGTTTCCAAGTTCGTTTTAAGTGGTGCATCCACTCCTGACATAATCTTCAAACGAGGGTTTAACAAAAAAATGTTGTAAATTTTAAGCGTTTGTATCCCGAGAAAAAGCCTGATTCCTCAGTTTTTCAACTTTTCGACTAAATAAAATAATAAGCCTATTTACTTGTATATATTTCCAATGATTCTCCGATTTCGACAAACGTACAACACATTCAAAGACGGCCTCAATAATCTCGAATGAGCACCATTCAATCTTCTTCGCTTTCTGAAAACAGCCACTTGATTAGCAAGCGGTCCTCAACCTACTCCTACACATCACAACAACCCACAAAAACTTGAATATTCGAATGGCAGCTTGCCAACTTTTTGAGGGTATTCCAAAATTTCTCATCACTACTCCCATCAACAGCTATACAAAATTGATTTTGAGGTTGGTATAAGGCCGAGAGTAATAGCATCACCTGAAACAAGATTTCAGATCATAAAGATCTCTCCTATATAGGCAGGGATTACCTGAATAACATCTTTGTGCACCAGCATAGCGTAAGCAATAGGAAAATCCCGTTCTTCTCTGGATAGTGTAGGAAAAAAGTGGAAAAGTTTGTCTATTGTGTCACAGCTGGAAAATCCATTTTTTTTTCGAATTTAAAAGTAAGGGATAAATGGGAAGACAGAAAAAATGCTACT